TAAACATACTTAGAAGTTCTTAACTTATACTGGAGGAAGATGGTATTGTTCATGTATTTATTTCCCACCTTCACTTTAAAGAGCTGCTCTGCAGTGTATTAAGATACCATCTAACCTAGACTGAGATGGAACGCTAAGGACTGCAAGGACAATGACAGAAAATCACTGCCTTTGCTTCTTCCTTGCCTTTATTTATTTTAAACTTTTATAACGGTGCCTTAATGCTACCACAACTCTGTGTTGCATTTAGTAAATGTGAATGTAAGCAATGGTTTGACAACCTCACCTGGTTTGTTTGGAGTAAAGTTTGGGCGGCCATCCATCTATTGATGGTATCCGAACCCAGTCCAATGGATGATCTCACCCAGCATCCTCATGCAGATGTTAAACATAAGGTGGGAGTGTAGAGCTAGTCCCCACATACCAAGGTATGATTCCTCTACTGGTTCGTTCTTCTTTCTGGAAGAGCTGTATGGATTGAATGTAGACAAAAATAATGGACATTACTATTAGGACAGGGATTCCCAATCACTGGGCCCCAGTTCACTACTGGGCTGCAGACTGTTCAGAACCGGGCCGTGTGAGCGGCTAGCTGGCAGCTCGACTTGCATGAGTAGTGGACCAGTGTGTACCTGCACACATATGCAGCTCAACTTGTGTGAATGGTGGGCCAGTGTGTATGCATACAGCTCAACTTGTATCAGTGGTGGGCCAGCAAGCACGCGCATGTACGCAAGGCTAAACTTACATGACTGAGAACCACATGCAACGACTTAGATGAGCAGTGGGTCAGTGTGTACATGCACCCATGTACACTTTGACTTGTGTGAGTGGTGGGCTAGCATGCACACATGCATCTCAACTCACGCAATGGATGGTCTCTTGCGCATGCACACATATGCACAGCTCAACTTGCACAAGTGTGGGCTGGCATGCATACACACTGCTCAACTTGTGCAAGTGATGGACCAGTTCCTCTCCCCACCCCCACCCCCAGCTGGGCAGCCAAGCCATAAAGGTTGGGGAGTGCTGTATTAGGATGTCAGCAAAGGAAGATTCTCCTGGATATACAGGTACTCCTCAACTTATGACCACAATTGAGCTAAAATTTATGTTGTTAAGTGAAATATTTGTTAACTGAGGTTTTCCCCATTCTATGACCTTTCTTGCCACAATTGTTAAATGAATCATTGTAGTTGTAGTTGTTAAGTTAGTGGCATGGCTATTAAAGGAATCTTCTTCCCCATTGACTTTGCTTGTCAAAAAGTCACAAAGGTGATCACATGATCACCACAGGACACTGCAACTGTCATAAATATGAATCAGTTGTCAAGGGTCTGAATTTTGATTACATGACCATGTGGATGCTTCAATGGTCATAAGTGTGAAAACGGTCATGAAGTCCTTTTTTCACTATCATTGTAACTTTGAACAAAGGAACTGTTGTAAGTCAAGGACTACCTGTACAGTATATAAGATAATCTTACACACACACACACACAAGAAAAGTGCTTGTTGGGTTCAAGCATATTTTATATTATCTGTTAGCCTAAAACATAAAATTTAAGGATGTTGTGTGAAAATTGTCACAAAAACTAGTGATCCTTGTAACTTACAATAAATAATCCATTATCTCTGATGTGTTGTACTGTTTTCACTTATGTAACCAGACTAATGGGCCATGTTTAAAGTTCGAAACATTAATTAAAACACCTTTTCATTCCCTTAGAAAACAGAAATTCTATCTAAATTAATAATTTTCAAATACAGAACTCTTAATTAATTTAAGCTCTATTAACTGAAGTATCAGCTTGTTCACAGGTTGCATTTAATTATGCTCTTTACAAGCAAGGCCAATGAAAAGTCATTCTGCTGCTTGAGGCAAAGTTAAGAAGAACTTCTTTTCATGTAAGAAAATCTACTGGTTAGCATTTGAATGTTATTTTAGTATTGGTAGCAGGATTGGTTCCTTTATACCAAAGATCAACGGGTTGGTTTGAAAATATCCAAGTACACATACATTTGTTCTCAAAAGGAGAAAGGAGGTTAGGAGAAGTTGCTACTACTGCCCCAAGTGCTCCAAAGATGGCACCTTACTTTACTGGGTCTTTTTTTTCAGTAGACGTGTCTTCTATCAATCTTCTGCTTTCCTAGAGGACTTGTCAAGGGACTAAAAGCAGATGCAATTCAAGAACTGAATGATTGACTAAAATGGTTTTGGCTCATTCTGTTACTACTATACTTTGCTTTGAAATAGCTAGATTGTAACATGAATGATAGAAATTGATGCCTGTTACAAATTGCCTCAAGTTCTTGTGAAGTGAGCAGACAACAAACACTGAATATATAAATATAATTACTAAAACCAGTAGAGATATCAAGAATTATGGACTCTTCAAGTATGAGATAAAGTTCAAAAATATTACATAATACTATTGCACAACCTATAATGCCATATTTATATGTTTTAACTATAAAATATCCATGTGTTTATATGTTTTAACTATTAATTTAGACTACATATTGTGTTAATGTTTGTTCTGTATTTGTCAAATTGATATTATCATTATTTCATTTTGTTTGGAAAAACGTGATTCTATGAAATCTTTCCTCTGCTAAACCATCTTTTGAAATTTGGGAAAAAAAATTTTTTTAAAATGTTTCTGTTGTATATGTTTGAAAAAATGCCAATAAATAGTGGACATGATTTACATCCAGCAGTCTAAACACACTACATATTTTCCATTTAATACTGACAGCATATTTATTTTAAAAAAGCAACAAAAAAAAAACAATTTTTTGCAATATTATGTAAAACTGTGGTGGTGCATCAGTTAGAAAGCAGTATTGCAAGCTAACTCTGTCCACTGTCAGAGGTTCGATTCTGACTGGCTCAAGATTGACTCAATGTTTCATCTTCTGAGGTCAGTAATGACCCAGATTATTGGGAACAATATGCTGACTCTGTAAACTGCTTAGAGAGAGCTGTCAAACACTATGAAGTGGTTTATAAGTCTAAGTGCTAATGCTATTGCACTTTTGTTTTAAATGTGTTGTGTACTGAAACTAGAAAAAGAATCTGGCCAGTACTGAAGCTATACTCCCACTATCCACAACATCTTATCAGCATATAATTGCAATGGATTGGTTTTATTAAGCATAAATACTACATTAGGTGTTGAATCCAAAGATATGCTGTGGAAGTAAATTCTTGGAGTAGGTTTTTATATAAATTGCTACTAAAGCTAACAAACTGCCACCCAGAGTAATTCTAGAAGGGAGGGAGGGAGGGAGGGAGGGAGGGAGGGAGGAAGGAAGGAAGGAAGGAAGGAAGGAAGGAAGGAAGGAAGGAAGG